GCTGCTCTAAAGCATTAAGTTTGATTCCATAGTCATTTAGTTGTTTTCATATCTTCATATCGTGCATAATTTTTTTATGCACCTTGAAGCCATGGAGCACATTTCCGTAAATGGATATCGGGTTCTTAATGTTACATCCTCTGGAATTTACTTATAAGTGATTTACAAATGGTGCCAATGCTAAGGAACCAGCTTTCTTCTCCTCCATCCTAATTTGGTAACATACATCTGAAACAAGAATTTGTTTTACTTGTTCACTTATTTTTCACATTAAAAAACAAATAATGCCATATTGGAACTCTTTTGATCGTTCCATTTTATTCTGTTTGTAACATTCTCCTACCAGATGAGGAAAATCTACTTAAACAATGCCAATAACCTTGTAGTTGGTTTCTTAGTTTGTGTTTTGTAGGTGGATGCAAGATGTATATTTGTGAAATTATATTATGGTGGACATACTGATGGATTTCCATGTTCTGCCACTATAGAATATTTTCATATATGTACCCCCATTCCACCTTTATTATTTCTGATTTACTATATAAATTTAAAAGCACATATTTGCATATTTTTTAGTGTATCATCTCTTTTGAAATATTGTTAACATTTTTTTGCATGTCTAATGTTACTTTGATCTAATATCTGTCATTTTCAATCTGCAATTTTTTTTTCATTGGGGTCCAGTGTGAAGGAGGTGAATGGTTCCATTATTCATGTGTCGGACTCACTCCAGAAACAAGATTTAAAGGGAAGTGGTTCTGCCCAACCTGTCGGAATCAACAATGAATTCTAGAATAGTCGGCCTGGGTAGAAAGAGGTGGTCTCCTACGAGTTCAACAGCCCATCAGCAATAGCCATTTTTTTTTTCTTTTTCCTGCAACATTCTTAAGCTGTGGGAAACACCTTGTTGTATCGATGTATATTGCTCACTGAAGAAGCTCTTTTCTGAAACGACATGAGCATAACTGTGCCGGTTATGTTTGGCACCAGTACTGGTTTTCTGCTTGTCCAGAAATTATCATAGATGTTGGCCCAATTTCTTTCCTTCAATTATGGCAAAACTGTGCTCGACTTAAATGTAGTCGATGTATGGCGTTGGTTCTTCAAATTATAAGAGTTATTAAGCTCAGAAAAAAGGAGTGTTTCCCCTTACAGCTGTGATTATTTCCATGTATAAACTGCTCTTGAAAGATGAGACTGGTGGGTTTGCAGTAGTATTGTCTCTCGGAGAGGATACAATCAACATTTGGTATTGCAAAACAATACTAGTTTTAAGGAATTGGTATTGCAAAACAATACTAGTTTTAAGGAATTGCTATAGGACAAAAATGTGAGTGTGATCGGAATTTTGTTCGATTAAATGCGACTCATGGTTTCTACATTGCAAAGTTTCGATTAACTCGAGAAACTGAATAGTTTGTACTCACATAACAAAAATTGTAATTCTTTTTTCTATCTATCCAAAGTGTCGAACCATATAAATTCTATTTTTATTATTTATATTTATATTTATATTAATGATTCTTTAGATTATAGTTTAGAATCGATAAGTCTATCATTGTAAGAGACATTTTGTTCTTCCTCGGTTTTCTTTCAATCTTACCGTTCCTACAGGGAGGAAGGTCGAGAGCAGAATCTGTTGGAGGAATGTTCAGAGCCATCAGACCACTTCAACAGAGAATGACATGCCATCAGGATTGAGAACAGTGTTTAGAACCACCTCTTCCTCTTTCCACATTTCTGCAAGGAGAGATGGCGTAAGCTATGTGCAGTAGCTTCAGTGACACCGGCACCGGTGCTCTTGGCAATTCTATTGAATTCCAAGAGGAAGATGCTGGTTCACAAAAAAAGCTTGTTAATCTGTATTTTCTGTTAGTACTATTTATTGTCTTTGTCATATATATATATATATATATATATATATATATATATATATAACACACTAGGGTAGAAAAGAGATTCGGATACTCGTGGCTCATGTTTAACTATTGATAGGGCGTATTTTAGCCCTATGTAAACCACCGATAGATGCTGCAGATCGACGCGATACCGTACGCCTCCAGAAGCGCGGGGTGCACGCCACGTCAAGCTCCAACGGTGCGACTGCACAGCCTGACCACCTCAAGAGCTGGGGGCGATGTCGTCTACTGTTAGGGCAGTGCCGTCTGACGCCGCTCAAGCACCCCCGAAGACACCATCTCATCAAAGAGGTTATTCCGCCCCCAGAGTCAACGGCCATGTCGGACCAGGGCCCAACCAATTCCAGCACGCAAATATAAATACCCCCGATCAGATCTAGGAAAAAGGAGAGGAAGAAGAAAAT